ATGGTAGAACTTTGTGAAATTTGGTTGGGCTGGATTATTCTTCTGAAAGTGTTCATATAAATGTAACATCATTCTTAAAATCCAAAATTTAATATTATTAACCATTAAAAAAAATTACAACCTAGTGTTTAGATTAAATATGATAATTAAAGTCTTAAATTATATATATATATATTTATTTATTTTATTTTTTTTATTTTTTTTTAACGGAGCGGGGGTGAGGGCGGAGAATATAATCTCGTCCTTAGCCCCATTTGTCTAAAAGGAAAAAAAATGGCCATCACTCCCTCCCCCATTCTCGGTCTAAATAGGGAATCCCCACTCGTTCGGACAGGTTCCTCGAGGCCCCAACCCTGAAAGTAAAATGGACCTCTCTAAAGACATGGAATGAGGATGCAAACTTATTAGAATGAGACGAAATGAGAGGGTATTCATGTTTTTCTCGTATTTATTGTGATGATATGATGCATTAAGAACCATAGATAGGTTTTGGAAAGCAATTTAGATGATCATTTTTCCATCACAAATCTTCCTATATCTCTACAATAATATAATATTCTCCGCTTTCGACCTGAGTTCTTATTGATTTGGTTTTAGTTTTATCCAAAATGCTTGTACCAATATTTGTATGATCTTCCATTTTATTTGCATTCTCAACAACTTTCACTTCAAATAGAGTACCATTGCACCAATATCAATTTCTTTATTCGAAATCGAAGGATTCTACCTTATGGCTAAGTCGAGAACATGGCTATAATACCATTTCGTAACAATCATATATCTCCGCATATTTATGTAACGGTATGATATTCTCCACTTTCAACACAAGGAGTTTATAAATAAAAATATATATATCTATTGGTACAGGAGTGTTTCTACTCAAAGTAGATAATATCATATCATTTTAAGAGTTCGTGATTCGATATGGTAATAAAAGTTATGCATTAACTTCGTCATGTCAATAGAATTCTCAAAGATCGAACTTCATAGACCTTAGCAGATATTGTTCACTTTGGACGATTATGTACATCATCTTTTGTCCCTCTCTAAATCAATATAGAACATTAATTTGTTTGCATGACCAACACACAACCCAATTGGGAAAGGGATTGAAGATAAAGTTTGGTTGATTCCGCTAACTCCTTTATTGGATTGGCTTACTTTAACCACATATTCTTCGAGTGTGTGAGAGTCCAAGTTGGTTCAATTCACTACCGTATTTATTATGTTCCGGTATCACTTTTGGGACCGTTTTGAAAATGTTTCTTTTTTTTTTTCTTTTTAAAAAATAAAATAAATAAATAATAAAAAAAATGGATTTAATGATTCACGGATTCCTCTTGTTCTTTAAATTATTAGATTAAAAAAAAAAAGTATCATCGATTTTTTTTTTAAATAGCCTTTTTTTTAATCTTTTTTATTCTATAAAGTAAAAATTAACATAAATATATTTATAAATATTCATCTCAGTTTAAATATATTTATACATATTTGTTTTTCATTTTCAAAATTTAACTGAGAGTTCACTTTAAAATAAATATAAATTTCAAGAATAAAAAATAAAAATAAGAAAAAAAAAATACAACAAAGAAAGAATTCATGGTGGGATTGTTTGAAATCACACGTTGAAGAACGAAACGAAATATTCCTTACAAAGGTGTCAAAACTTTTACTAAGCATATGCGTTTTAAAGCTGTGAGATTGACGATGATATATAACGAACAAATACAAACAATATTTGTAAGTGGTGGGTTTGATCCGTTTCAAACTGAGATCATGGGTCAATGAGTAATTTCTTACTTTTTTTTTTTTTAATTTAAATAATTATTTTTTAAAAATTATATTTTAAAATGTTCTCGTACCATCACTTCAATTATCTAATCAGAAATTATTAAAAAAATTCATTTAATTAAATTAAATTTGTGAAGATGTGACAAAAACTAAAAATAAATATAGTCCAAAAGTTTGGAGAAATTAAGAAAACTTTTTTTTTAACACAAATATATATTAAATCAACAAAATGTGATTTAACGAAAAAAAAAAAGGAATCTTTTTTAGTTAAATTTAATAATAACTTTTTCATTTCTTTTTTTATTTTTTATTGTGCAATTTCCTTTTAAAATCAAAGTTATGAGTTGTGGGGTTTTGCAATAAATAAGAATAAAAAATAGTGTCTTAAATTTATATACAAAACAATTTCATGTAAAAAAGAGGGTTTTCTTTTTCTCCTACAAAGGGTTTAAAAAAGAATAAATACAAAAAAAAAAAAAAAAAAAA